CGCGTATAGTTAGGTACGGTTACGTTACGTTACGTTACGGTAACGAACGTAAACGTAAACGTAAAACGTACTACGTACGACCTGTGTAGGGGTTTTTTATTAATTTCTATCAAAAACTTCTTGAACCTACGTGTTTTTCTAACGTCATTACTACAAATGTATAATTCAAAATAAACAAACGAAGCATACAACAATAACAACAAAGCACTCATCACCACGAGTGCTGAATTCTAATTCCTAAACGAAATAATTAAAGCATCAGAGACCACAGGTTACATTGCACGCTTGTGGTAAAGAAAATTATTTTTATACTGTTTTTATAAATAAAATAGAAAAATCATTATTTGTTGGCTAGAACAAAGTTTCCACCACGTGACGCTAGTTTAAAAATGGGGTTAACAAAAATATTTTAAAAAATGTTTATACTAATTATAAATAATTGAGCTAAAATAATTACCATAATTACTAAGTTTATTTTCAAGGTAACGGATTAAATATCAGTCAATCAGTATGGAAGAGTACTGAAAAAATAAAGGATTAATGCTTGAAGTCACATGTTATTGCAACAATCTGTATGATATGCAAAACCAGTTTAAATAAGTTGTTTTATCTCTCTACTAATTAGAAATCGAAAGTGTTTCTAATGTTTTAACTTATCAAACTTGTATATAACATTAATAATCAGGTTTATTGGCTTCACATAAAGAAATATATAAAATCCAGAGTTCGATTCCCCCACGGTGGAAGAACGCAGATAGCCAAATTGTGCAGTTTTGCGCAAAACACAAACAGACAACGACAATAGTTTGATTTGCTTGTTTTAACGCAAAGTTGTGCTATGGGCTATCTGTGCTCTGTCCACCGCGAGGAATCGAACCTTAGATTTTAGCTTTGCAAGACCGTAAACTTACCCATCACTTAGTGATGAGTCTGTACAGAAAGCTTTAAAGTGAAATAAGCCGGTTTGTTTCTTGACTCTATCTCACGTGCTGACTGCTGATTAAAATGAATATTTATAACCACATACGAGAGAATTTATTTAATCAGAATTCATAAGAGAGAATTTGTTAGGCTTATCCACGACAGCTAAATTAATAAGAGTACAGGTTATACACATGTAACTTATTTACCATTTCATAGTAGTTGAGCCATTTATGGCACAGTAGGAATTAGGTAGCAAAATTTTTCAAGGAAAAAAAATATATATAAAAAAGATTTATAGGACTTGTTGGTTCTCGTAGCTTAAGGCATAAGTGGCGGCTGCATACTAATTTTGGTCTTGCGACTTTTCAGAAACGTTGGCTGCTATCTCGCTAGATATCCCGCAGGCAAACATTCGAACGCCGCTGAATGATAATGCCTGTGTCAACTTATTCGAGGGTAACGTACAGAGAGCATGCGCATTACCTGCGGGTATTAATGGCTACGAATCTCTAGCATTGAGGCCAAGTGCGCAGGTACACTAGCCAACGCGTTCCCAGAAAGCTAAAGAGACACCTGTCGTCAATCGCTGAGTAGTAATAATCTTGCTCGCGACCAGTACACAAATTTATTCTGCTGTGAGAACGAATATTTCTCCAGATGATTGGCAGTCGCACAGTTACAGGAATTATCCTGAAGAAGTAATCATAAGGCAATATTTTATATTTTGAAGCTCGAAATATAAAATACTGTAGCAAAATACTATTTCATTTAATCGTTTTCTCGGGAATTGTGATTATCAAAAGTTTCAACAAGTAGGAAACACGTATTTTTCGTTAACCAAACTATATGTTATTGAATCGACCAGAAACCAGTTCATCAATGTAAAAAAATAACAAGAGTTTCAGAGAGAGCTTGAAATTAATTTTTCGTTGCTACTAATAAGTAAATATTTCAGAAGGAACATGTGGTTATCAAACAAGAAATCAGCCTCTCCGACAGGAACAAAACTATTTCACCCAGCAGTGTTAGTGACTCTCTGGATGGCTGTGCCTGGAAGTGCCGCTGACGAATTATGTTACTCCTCTGGCGAAGTTGCTGGAATTGTAATTGCCACGTTTTTTGTGACCTTAGTTTTAGGAGGCCTAGGTTTAGTAGTGGCCTGGTACCTTTGGAAAAGACAAAAAAGTAGGCATCTTTATTAATATTCTTAATGCATTTTTTTATAATTATATACTTATATTGGTAGAGTTGCAATGTTTTAGAGAACGTTCGTCTTCTGGATTAGACTACAGTCACTCACATATATATATATATATATATATGAATGAAATAAGTAAAAACATCAGAATTTTCAATTACATTAATATATTTACGACAAATTAGTTTCATAAAGTACCGTATTTAAGTTGTCCAGAAATATTTAAACTATATAAACACTCAGTAATTGATCATATCATATTCGATAATTAAAAAATAAAATACGTGGATGTGGACGTTTTCGCATGAGAAGTGGGCAGTGACTCATCGTATTGGAATTTTACAAGCAGAAATTTGCATTTATTATTACTTCGTTGTTTATTTGTTTCTATAAGACCAATAAATTTGATTAGTTAATTTTGTATACAAGTTTAATAACTTAAAACGATTAGAAACATCGCTGATGCCTTCAACTGTTAACACTAACTGGTTTTCCATAACTGGTTCCAAACGGTGAATGGCAAATTTATATTTGCTCTAATCTTTTATAGGTCTTAAAATAAGAACAAACCACTGTTGTGATTAACCAACAATATTTTTCATCTTAATGGTATATACATGTACCAAAAATAATCAATCAAATTTATTAGTTTTACAGTAATAAATAAACAATGAAGTAATAATAAATGAAAAAAAAAAGCTGATAAAAAGAAACCTCCAGTACTGATAAGCGCATATAACGATGATATGAACAGCACCACGAAACCGAAGACTTCAAGATTAATAATACCTCTACTGAAAGAAAATTACAATTTAACATATCCATTCTACGAATGTAATATATCACTCAACACAGGCTCGGCATGGCCAGGTGGTTAGGGCGCTCGACTCGCAATCTGAGGGTCGCGGGTTCGAATCCCCGTCCCACCAAACATGCTCG